ATCCAATGGCTAGTTAGCTTAGCTTAGCTTAAAGGCAGAAGAGAAATCAGATCTTATATCCAACAGCTAGTTAGCTTAGCTTAAAGGCAGTAGTGACATCAGACCTTATATCCAACAGCTAGTTAGCTTAGCTTAGTTTAAAGGCAATAGCATGATCAGATCTTATATCTAATGGCTAGTTAGCTTAGCTTAGCTTAAAGGCAATAGTGACATCAGATCTTATATCCAACAGCTAGTTAGCTTAGCTTAGCTTAAAGGCAGAAGAGAAATCAGATCTTATATCCAACTGCTAATTAGCTTAGCTTTGCTTAAGGGTGGTAGCGACATCAGCTACTATATCCAACAGCTAGTTAGCTTAGCTTAGCTTAAAGGCAGCAGAGAAATCAGATCTTATAGCTAGCATTTAGTTAGCTTAGCTTAAAGGCAGTAGCAACAGCAAATCTTAAAGCGAACAGCTAGTTAGCTTAGCTTAGCTTAGCTTAAAGGCAGTAGCGTGATCAGATCTTATATCTAACAGCTAGTTTGCTTATCTTAGAGACAGTAGCGACATCAGATCTTATATCCAACAGCTTGTTAGCTTAGCATAGCTCAGGTTAGCACAAAAGCCGTAGAGACACCAGATCCTAACTCTATCAGCTAGTTAGCAAAGTTAAGCTTTGCATAAAGACTGTAGAAATAGCAGGCCTTAACTCCAGCTCTAGTAAGCTTAGCTTAGCATAACATAAAGTCTGTATAGACATGAGGTCTTAAATCCAACAGCTAGTTAGCTTAGCATTAAGACTGTGGAGTCACATGATCACACATTAAACAACGAAATTACTCAATCTTTAGCAACGTCCAACGTGTTCACTCAGATCTCAGCAGAGCGTTTCTCTGCACAGTTCGGCTGCAGCACACTGGTTTAGTTTGGAGGTTAAATGTGTCGTCATTTTGTCTGCGAGCAGCAGATTCACAGAATTATTCATGAATTTTAATAAAAACATGTTTATTTTTCAGCAGTTTAATATCTAACAGAGTTCAGATCTTCTTGACAGCGATGCTACGATGGTGGGTTTTCATGTTTTAAGGTGCTGATTCGTGTTTCTCTGGGTTTTTATTGCCCTTTTCAAACCTGTTCTATGGTTCTGTTTCATAAATGCGAGATCGTCCAACTTCACGGGTCACAGATTTATTTATTTCACACTCAGAGCTTCAATATGTGCAGTGAAATGTGGAGGCGGAATAATCAGGAGGCTGAGCTAAAGGCCAATATTTCAGAACAGAGCGAGAACAACCAGCAGTAACGGATCAGTCAGCGCGCTGCTCATCTGCGTGGTTCTGTTAGAACCTCAATGAAAACTCACGTGAGCAAAGTGAGCTTCTGGATGTTTCAGCTTCTGTCTCGTGGTCCTTCTCTGAGGTTCATGTTTCATTAAAGTCCTGCAGCTCTGAGGAACCAGAACATGAAGCAGGAGGAGAGAGAACTCAGAGACGTCTCCTGTCAGCAGGACATTTCTGTTGTTTCGTGTCTCTTTGTGCTGGTTTTGTCTCCTGGTCCTGGTCTGTTGAGCTGTACCGTGGTCCACCAGCAGCTCACTGAGCAGCCGGCTGTGGTCTGATCAGCTGAGCTCCCCTAAACGTTCACACAAAGCATCCGAGCTGCTGTTTGGATGAAACAAGACACGAAACACCAGAAGTGAGACAGAAGATGTTTGTGGAGACGTGGAGACATGAATCCAGAAGCATGAAGCAGCTCCAGCCGTAGAGCTGCTGCTGCAGGTTGTTGGAAAGATTCTGTAAATTCTCAGGAAAGCTTGACGGGAATTATCTGCAGACACAGTCAATACAAGCTATTTTTTCTTTGTTTCCGTCTGAACCCACTGAACTCTCAGGTTATCGGCTGTTTCGTGTGAACGCGCCGGATTTTTATTTTCCAGCAGCTGCTGTTGAGTTTTGGCTCATTTATGGACAAACTGAAGAACAGAAATATTCTCATCTTTCCGTTCAGACGGCAGAAAGAGAAAAGACGAAGCATGAACATCCTTCAGCGTTTCCTTTGTGCAGAAATGAGGCCAACATGGCGTCGGACTGAAGCTTTGTGCTGCAGACAGAGATGGACGTCAGATTATCTCTCTCAGATGTAATCCGGCCGTCGGATTAAGCCGAAGCCTTCAGCAGCTGCAGCACCATTTATCACAAACTCTGGTTTATTGTGGCTGCTGTTCAGTTTGCTGGTCGCAGCTTTAACAATCGTTTCCTGAAAACCTGAATCCTAATTCACCACAAGCAGCAGGATGTTGGTGGCTGTTAGAAGGTGATGGAGCCACACTGTGCACTTTGCTGCTCCAGAGTCTTCTTCTTGTGTTAATTGCATGATGGTTGATGGTTAATAAAGACAGTAAATCATGTTCACACAAAATTCTACATTTTTACAAATTGTAGTTTTTTTTTAAACGTGTGACTAATGTTACATTTTCTGACTTTATTTAAATCAGAAGGTATCAGTGTTTTATACATATTTACTGCTGCAAGTGTTTGTTTTACAGTCTTTGAACATCCCTGCTGCCGGACTGTCACCGTTTTTTTAAATGTATTTTTTACAGTGTACATTAAAGTGCTGGTCAGTGCCCCCATTTGCTTCCTGGTCGCCATCTTGGAGTTTTTGGACCAGAAGTCACTTTATTTGGAGAAGAGGGCGGATTGTTCCATCTTTGTTATACAACCTGGGTTTTGCAGTGAATAAATTAGGCTGCACGGTGTCATCAGAAGGTGGCGCTATAGGCTACGTAACACACAGCTGGAATAAAGAGAGTAGAAGAAGATGCCGGTAACAGAACAAGCTAAAGTGTAACCACAGATTTACATGAAATGTTCTTGTTCCTCTGCAGGTTTATGCGATCCTGGTCAGCCACCCTCCTCAGTCCAACGACCACCTCACTCCGACGCCCGTCTCCTACACGGCCGGGTTCTACCGGATCCCCGTGGTCGGCCTGACAACCCGCATGTCCATCTACTCCGACAAGGTGAGCTGACTAGTAAACCATCCCGGGACCACACAGAGATCCATGGTTTAACACTGTGGATGTTGTGGTGTTCCTCAGGGTTCCATCCTGGATCCTCTAAGCTTGTCCGGTATATTCTCCCTCTGGGGCTAGAATCAGGACGCTAATGGGGCCATCTCCTCACTCCTGGATGTCGACGACATTCCCTGTAAATATTGACATTACTGGGTGCTACAAAGCTACCTGTTGGTCTGTTGTTGTCTGCGTGACTCCTCCACGTGCTGATGTTTTGCACAAACCATAAACTCTTATTAAAAAAGTAGCTGCACACACAGTGTTGTACTCCGAGAGACCAAGCTAACTAATATTAGCTGCTACATCAGCCTAATAAAGTTACTCTGGCCACTATGTTAGCCTTAACAAGCAACTTTACTTGCTGCATTAGCCTAAGCAACTAAAACTAGCTATTACACCAGCCAGACAAGTAACATTTGTTACTGCGTTAGCCGAAACAAGTTGATTTTAGCTGCAACAAAAAAGGTAATGTTAGCTTCTATGTTAACCACTACATTAGCCTCAACAAGTAACTTTAGCATCTGTGCTAGCCACTACATCAGCTTTCACAAATGGCGCTAGCTTTTGTGGTAGCCTAAACAAGCTAATGTTGGATGCCACATTTGCCTTAGCAAGATATGATTAGCCGTTACATAAGATTAAACAAGCCGTGTTAGCATCTATTTTAGCCCAAGCTAAGAAAATTATTCACTATATTCCCCCAAACAAGTACATAGAAAATCAGAATGACGTGGTCAGACTGTCTGTGAGAACAACGACCATTAAAACCAGGACGACCAGTAAACACCCTGAACAGTAAATAATAGACTGTTTCCGTGGTAACTACAGAGTTACTGGTAGAGCTACTACCAGTGTTTTGGTTCTGTGAAGCTATAAACATTGACTCCCTGCGGCGCCCCCTGCTGGCCCAACGTTCACGACCTAAAATACAGCAAATATTCTCCAGTTCTTTGTGCTCATGTGTTTACAGCCTGCGAGTTATTCACAAACTGTAACCTGACCAGGAGTTAGAGGCAGGTTCAGGATCAGGACTGGGATCTGCAGTGTCACAGAGTTCATACGTGTTCAGGCTGCTCCGTGTTCTTACAGGTCATACGTGTTCAG